CGAACTTGGACCAATCAGCTGTGAGCAAAGTGACACATGTATGACACGATAAAGTCACTCCACAGCAAATAATTTTAAAAGACAAAATCATGGCTTTTAGTAAATAAATTTGTATGATTTAGAAATTATTTCTGTAATTATTATATCCCAAAACAATCTAATATAAGTTTATCAATTATTATTACGCAGATTTTAAATGAATACGTATAAAGGCAATATAAATACGCTTTAGAATCAATAAATGAAGCTATAAAATGACTGCATGTGAGCTTGAATGTTCAATTCTCTCTATACCTTTATCAACATAAACTAACTTCACAACTTTTTCTTGCACTGATATACAGTAGCAAGACTTTCTTTTAGTTGTCATCTTTCATAGACAGATATTTTCTTCTTGCTGTGTAAGTTTGTTTAAATTCTTAATATTTTAATACTTTTATTTAATACGTGAATTGCGCTGCTTCTCTCGCGAGAAATTAATTTAAATGAGTTTTGAATGAGTTTCACTCTTTCTCAGCATGTGATTGGCTGTTCGCTACTGATGTCACACCTAAACTCCTTAACTCAGGATCAAAGCCTGAGTTGACAGAGAAAGTTGATGATCAGCATTATGGTACCAACAAAGCCTGGTTGGATTGGTTTGGTTTTGTCAACTCGAAACTAGTCCTGCAACCCTGAGTTTGTTCAACTACCATCATGGTACAAGCCCCTGGTGAAGAGGGTCACCTTGAGTGAGTTTTGTTTATGTTATTATTCTTTTTTATTTGATAAAATAAAAAAAATTCTTTATTTGGAAGTCAGTAAAGATTTCACTGGTTTGCTCTGGTCATGTCTTCACAATAACATATTCAATATAAATATTCCACATTTCTGCCCAAACCATTGTAAATTATTACATTCATGGTAAATGTTTGTAAGGGTGGTGATTAGGGGATTTATAGTCTTCTAACTTTGTTCATGTTTCTGCTATTTACCTCATCAGTAGTGTTGGGAATGTTAAGACTGTTTCATCCGATTTAAAACGAGTTAAAATCATTGAGTTATTTGTGGATTGTAACAGAGAGGAGTGTCCAATTGAAACGCTTCTCACTGGATGGTGCAACGCTGTTTCATAATAGTGTCCGGGACCGGAAGTAAACGCAACTCCTTTAAGCTTGCGTTCCGTTATCCACTGGACCGTGCTGCCTAGTTCAAAGTAAACTAGTGAAACAACTGAAACCAGCGCTATTTTGTTCTCTATTTGTTGTTACTGACCGAGAAACTGCTTCAGATGATCAAGTGACTGAACAGTCCAAACGAATCCGAATCGTTTCAGACCATTACGCAAGCGTGTTTGGCCAATTCATGGAAAGGAAATAATCGAACCAACGAATGATTAATATCGCTAGTTCAGTCGACAGAAATACGGGACACATAATAACTGCTGAAATATTCGGACTGAAAACAATTCTCTCAGGTCAGTCGGAGCGCTCATGGTACACACACAGTGCGTCGTCCAGCTGCAGGCACCACTGCGGCCACGTGCATATCTAACCAAATGTAGCCGCACCACCAGAAAATGGGAGGGGGAGGTTGGGGTGCCCTCTGGCTGTACGGAGATGATTGGGGGGCCGCACTTGGCCTGTGGGCCGCCAATTGATTAGCTCTGCTCTAGACCCTTCCTGAGCTGAGATATTGAGATATTTATGATGGCATAAATGCTATGTGGGATCTAAATATCTCAGCTCTGGAAGGGTCTAGAGCCTCCATTTTTGCACCCAGGTCTAAGTCCCATGGCCTTCTATCAGAATACAGAGTTTCAAGAAGATTAGATAAACATATTTTTTCGCACCAAAAAAAAAAAAAAACGAAAGGGGTACCACTGTCGTTTATTTGGGGGAGGGGTCGAAATTTTGAGTTTCTCTGATCTTCTTGAAACTCTGGATTCTGATAGAGGGCCATGGGACTTAGACCTGAGTGCAAAAATGGAGGCTCTAGACCCTTAGAGGCGAGATTTTGAGATCCCACGTATCGCGATTAGAGAAACTTATTTTTTTCCTTAACGCTTGTAGTTAGTTAGGAGTTAACATGTTTTTCACTTTAAAATAATGGGCCACATCACTAGTAGTTCCTGTGGGATGACAAGGTAACGCTTAAGGAGTTAACATGTTTTTCACAAATGATACAAGTAATTTAATTTTATATTTGACACATACTGTACAGGTTGTGTGAGGCACTAATATTCTAACAAACACTGTAATCTGGAAGATGTGGTTTTGCGTTTATCGTAACATAAATGCAGACAATTTCTTCATTAAAGATGCTAATTGTTTTTGACAAGTGAACATCAATGTTTATATTCATGTCCTCAGGCAGCTACTGGAACATAAAGTTATAGCTCTTTGGAGTCTGAGATATATGTGACTGACATTCAATAGAGGTCATAATAGTGAACTTATCCAATCATGAGAGTGTCAGCATCACTTCTTAATTATTTAAGGTTTATTTTTAAAAACTGTCATTATTAGTATTATTTTATGTTTAAGTTTTAAATAAACAGAGAACATGCGTCCATCCTGGCAAGAGTAGTGGTCACAATCTCAACCTAGCTAATGTATTTGGGGGGGATGTATAAACTTCATAAACTGGTTTCCACAAAGAACCCATTTGAGGCACATGCTTCTAAAATGTTATGACCATGTTAAGAGTAAAACCCCCATAATTGTTCACTTTTTAGACATGTTACTTTTGTGATTAGTAATTAACACAAGTAGTTCTCAAAGAGGATATATTTCTTTAGTAAATCAAATACCTACCAAGGAACTACCTTTGTACTAAATTACCTATTACTTAATGCTTAGTTAATATTGCTTCCATATTAGTTAATAGTATTAAGTTCGGTGTTAATGCAGTACTACCTATCACTTCCTGCATAGCTACTTGTTAACTACGGACCATTATTTTAAAGTGTTACCATATTTTGTTTTAGTGTGCTTAACATTTTTGTTTTCATGATTTCAGTGTAAATAATGCTTTTAAAAATTAAATGACTTTTTTTTAAAATCCTTAAATCATTATTCCAGATGTTGTCTGAAAATGTGTTTTTTTTTTTTTTTAATTTATTTGTTTTTAATTAAAAGTTAATTAGTGGAAAAAGCAGCCAAGCCACAAATCTCATAGATTAGGTATTCTGAAATTCCCCTGGTATTTACAGTGGTTTTATTAAGTTTAACCAATGCATAACTCTGGCATAAATATGGCATTTCATTGTCAAGACAGATTACGGTCAGAGAAGTGCTTTTTTCTACACTTATGAAATCTGTTTTCATACTTGGAATATTTGTACCAGGCAGAAAGGAAAACCTCTTCAAAACAGTCCCAAAATATCAATCTCCTGTGTCAACATGAATGGTCCACAGCTTTGTGAAATTCGTGGGTGAAGTGAAATAATAAATCACAAATGCGACATCTCTTTGAGATACAAACAGTTGTCTCCGATTCTGATTTGTATTTGATTTATGACATTTATAACACATACTGTCAGTGTGTGAGCCGCTGCACTGCAATCCAGAGTAATCAGTCACAAGCTTACGATCAGATATCCAAAGGTTCAAGAGCAGGGTGAAAGGTCAGACCGGCTGACAGAAGCCATGCATTTTTTATTTGATTAAAGAACATTTGAAGCAGATTATGCAATCATTACGCAAATGTGCATGGGAAGCAGTCTGTCATATCAGCTGAATTGTCAGTTCATGCTGGAAGCGTTTTCACAAACAGTGACACTCAAGATAACATCAGTTTTAAAAAACGATGAAAGCGAGATTCATTTGGCACCAAATATATTGGGATATTAGACATTTGTGCCACTGTTCATAAACATTCAGTTAAATGTGTGAACAATTAACAGTAGACATAAAAGAAAAAAAAAATGCTGTTTTTTTTTTAAGAAATTGTATTTTAAAGGATTATGGCCAGTGTAATCTGGATTACTGATATGTGCGTCATTGCTCTTTAGAGAGCTCTGTGTTCTCAGTCATTTAAATCTCTAAAGTCATTTTTAAGTGTGGATTGAAAAGGTAAATACATATCGCCTACATTACTTTTGTAGGAACTTGACATGACTGTCAAAAACTGGATATCAGGAATGAATTAGCATTTAAATAATCCACTTACAGAATTGTTTTAGTATTAGAATTTTTTTATTATATTTTTATTTCACTTTTTCACAGATTAGAACTCAAAAACATAATCCATTCAAGGAGTAAATACACTCTAAAAAAATGCTGGGTTGTTTTAACCCAATTTGGGTCAAATATGGACAAACCCAGCCATTGGGTTACATTTTTTAAATTACATTCTTTAACCCAATGTTTGGATTCATCCATATTTGACCCAAAATTGGGTTAAAACAACCCAGCATTTTTTAGTGTAGATTTACACTATAATAGCTCAAAGAATACAAACTTCCGTTACAACACATTTGCTCACATTATGGATATACTTATCGGTAACATCCACATAACAAAATATTACTTTTTAACAGATTAGAACTCAAAAAAGTCATACATTCATTAAGAAAATAGATTTACACATATTACCCTGGCAGTACATTACAAAACATAAAACATGAATCAAATGTCATACGATTCTCTCTTTTGACTGCTGGAATCATAATATATATATATATATATATATATATATATATATATTCACTCAAAAAATGCTGGGTTATTTCAACCCAAATTAAAAAATGTACAGTTGAAAGTGAAAGTTGAAGTAATTTTTATTAACCCAACATTTGGGTTTGTCCATATTTTGTAAAACAACCCAGCATTGTTTGAGAGTGTTGGAGCAAATTGGAATACAAAAATGATATTTGTTGTCATCTCCCATTCACCAATATAGAAGTTTACCCAACTGACGACTTCTGCTTCTGAGAACCCCGGAAATGTGAAAAGGGCCCATTGTTTATTCAACAGTTTACTAAAGCCTGGTCTGAACTCAATTACAACACAATAATGTAGACAGCAATGTTTATTTCACTGTTGTGCATCTTGGCCAAGATATACAAATCAGTTGTTGATGTCAAGACATCTACTGAACATGACAACATTATTTATGGGTTATTTAAAAATGCACTTGTTGAGGAAGGCAAGCTTAAAGTTGACACAAGAGTTTTCAAAGACACATCTGAAAAGACACATCTCTAACATGACAAGTGACACATGAACCACTGCAGAGATATTCCGTTGGGGTAAACATTTATCAACCATTTGTTATTAAGCGTGTCACTAACACAATCATTGTGGTACAGAAAAAAGTACAGTATATCTTTCATTTGTATCCTTAAAAGTTGTTATATTGTCCAGGCATTTTTGAAATATCATTTATACATATTCTGTTTACGTCTGTTTACTAACTGTCACGATTCGATGTGTTTGAGCAGTTTTTGAGATCTTGTTTCACCCTGTCTTTTGTGATTTTGGTTTAGTCCTGTTGGTGTTTCCCCGCTTTGTTTAATTAGCAATTCCTGTCACCTGTGTTCAATTAATTAACTATAAGTCCTGGAAAGTTTTCCTTTTTTCCTGTGAGTTGAGTTGTAAAATAAATCAACTATACTGCAGTTCCTGTGGCCTCGTCTTCAGGCACCAGCACTAACCGTGACAGAACGATCAACCAGACGTGGATTTCCCTGCAGTGAGATTAATGTGCCTACATCAGGGAAACAGCTCACTTGAGGAGCACCTTGAAATCTTCCTGGATCTGGTACCTCAAACCAGTTTTCCAGACAACTGCCTCTGCACGTTTCTACATGTGGGACTGAACAACTCCACTTGAGCGCAGTTGTCCGGGGAACCACCTCAAGGAAGCTTTGTCCAATATGTGGAGTGGGTGCTGGTATCTTGCGGATCATCCTTCACTGTCGATGACGTCAACAGCCCCACTCCAACCCCCGAGACCGTCCAGCCAGAGTCTCTTCCCGCCGAGACAGCCCCACCAGAGACTGTTTGTACCCCGTCTGCTTCTAAATATTTTTTTTTGGGGGGGGGGGGGATGTCCCAGCCGCGGCCGCCTGAAGGGTCTTCAGCGCTGTGGCCGCCTGAGAGGTCTTCACCACCCTGGTCACGCCCTCAGCCTGCTCCGCCTCGTCCACATCCTGCTCCGTCCTGGCCACGCCCTCAGCCTGCTCCGCCACGTCCACATCCTGCTCCGCCCTGGCCACGCTCTCAGCCTGCTCCGCCACGTCCACGTCTTGCTCCACCCTGGTCACGCCCACAGCCTGCTCCGCCACACCCACATCCTGCTCCACCCTGGTCACGCCCACAGCCTGCTCCGCCATGGCCATGTCCACAGCCCGTTCCACCCCAGTTCCTCGAGCTACCAGCTCCACCCTGGAGGCTTCACGTTCCTGCGTCACCATGCCCACATCAGCCTCCTGGGCGCCCACCCTCCCACCCCCCCACCCCTTTGAATGCACGAGGACGCGCCTTCAGGGAGGGGGAGGGTACTGTCACGATTCGATGTTTTTGAGATCTTGTTCTTTTGTGATATTCAGTCTATAGTAATGATATTACTGTTATGCATAAAAAGTGAAACTGTAAGTATATTTGTAATACTAATATTTAATAGTGAAATGCATTTTTATGTTGCCCGAGCAAATATTTTTTCTGACAGTGTACAGAATACCTTCATAAAGAAATGATTTGGCATGAATTATTATTATTTATTTTTTTAGTCAGAACATTTCCAATTGCAGTAAGTCTCGTGCATAATCTTTTTCTTTTGACTAATCTTGTGCACTGGGGAATGTGTTTTCATGAAAAGCACCGTTGTTTCTAGGATTAGAAAATGTTGCTCGCCTAATTCTGTCTCATAAGCTGGATGAAGACCATATCTCAAGTCATTTCCTTATGGATAAAGTACACTTTATGTTCTGTGTGCTAAACTGTGCATTTTGGTTAACATGAACATCAAATTAAAATACTTTAGAAATTGTAAAAGTATTGAACTCTTAAAGGGATCACTAATTTCATTTCTGTTTATTCTTTTTCTAGTGCCACATTTTTGTTTGCTTGACTTTTAAAAAGGCTGTTTGATGTACAGCGTAACAGCAATTGTACTATACACAATCTTTAAATCTCAACAGTTCACCAGCAACCTCAAAACATATTATTCCTGATTGTGTTTCCATTCAGAACTGCATTTATGGAAGCAGCTTAACTCTTATTGAATGACAGCCACACATTCTCTTCTTACATGTGCTTTGTAATGATACGGATAAAATTGAACGCCGTTCTGCAAGATTTCCATTAGGAGCAGCTTATGTGCTTTGTCAAAATATCAGTTGAGAAATTTTATTACATGTTGAAATCCTCTATGTCAAATATAACAAACCAAAATATACCACAAACAGACTCCACACTCACGACCACACAGTCCACAAAAATACAGCAAAAGGATGACATATAAGCACACAAAGCCAACAAGCATGTTTTATACCTGTTAGAAACCACCAGGACATTAACTGTTATTGTCATATGCCTTGTTTATTTGGACTTGTTCTCAATGGCAATAGTCTCAATCTTTTGACCAGTGAGCAACTGCCAGATCCCTCCCCTGTAGTTCTCGTTTCCAAGGGCGTAAACAAAGACGTTGAAAGTAGGTGATGTCTTAGCCAAAATGGGTGCAAGCTGTAAGAACACATCCAAATCAGACTCTCTCTATGCACATACTGAAAATAGTTTAACAAAAATGTTATTCATCAGTTCATGTGTTTATGCTATTGTCTCTTATGCTCACCAAGGCTGATTTTATTTGATAAAAAAACAGCGAGATTACAATTTAAAATAATGTTTTTCTACTGTTCTACTGTAATTTATTGCTGTGATATCAAAGCTGAATTTTAGTAAGAAACATTTCTTATGAAGTTGTTAGAGTTTATATCATTTATACAATTACAATCTATTTTAAGTACAATTTTTACAACATTATAAATGTCTATACTGTAACTTCAGATCAATTGAATCCATCCTTGCTGAATATTCATTTCCTTAAATAAAGGTAGTCTATGAGTTCATATGAGATTTACTGGTTATCTCATTATATTCATACCAGACCTATATGACTTACTTTCTTCAAAGGAACACAACATAACATATTTTGATGAATATACTGTATAACAATAATAAATATGTTTTTAATATGATGAAAGTCAGTGGGGTTCAGTGTTGTATTTGGCAATAACAGTTTAAAATATCGTCTTTTGTGCTCCCTTAGAAGACAGATTATTCATGCTTTTATAACAATGATTTCCTCACCATTCTCAGTTTAGGAGAGACGAGGGTTGCATTCTCCACAGCAGCATAGAAAGCCAGGATACCATACGGGCCCCAGCAAAAAAGCATGGTCTTCAGAGGAGTGCTACAGTTGAACTGTACATAAAGAGAGCAAGCAGGAGATTTCCAAGTCACAAGCTGCAGATTTAACTCAGATTTAACTTATACACCATCAAATACCCTTCTGTTCATATGAGCAAACGCATATGAACAGTCATTTTTGTGATTTTAAATTTCCTTACTATATACGGTGTAACTGTCATAGATCGAACCTTAACTTTACAGCATTAACTTTATGAATTAAAATAAATCTGTCAATGACTTAATGACTGCACGAAAACCATGCCATTGGTCATTTCTCGCGGACCTCCTTCCCTGATCTTTGAACACGGTTGCAGTTAGTTTGCAATGTGACATGTCCTTCCAGATGTTTTGTTTTCCCTTATTTGTATGGTGTCCTTTAAATCTGTTAAAAATAAAATCTTTGTTTCCCTCTATCACCTCTGGAAGGACATTAATTTTATCTTTTTGAAAGGTAGCCTATCTTCTCTTGTTTTTTTTAAAAAGCCATTTTGTCAGCCTGTATAGGTGCTTTATATCCATATAGACTTGTCTTGATTTCTAATCCACAACAAATGACGATTATTAAACGTTCAGAATACGACTCCATAAAAGGTTATATTTCAGCACTTTGCGAATGGATAGCGACGCTTAAGTAGCAAGTAGAACGCGTTCTCGCGCGTTCATGTTATGTGCATTTTTGGAAAACGCACGTGGAATTGCTGCGACCGTTCGTAACCTTGCACGTAGAGAGCGCTCTTAAGAGCTAAGATACATCGTTATCGGGAAACCCGGCCCTGGTCACTTCACATTTGATGTATTTTCGTTGAAAAAATATTTTTGGTTTCTTAGTTTTTCTAATCAGTTATGTAGCCTATCTAATGTTGTTAAATGAATGTTTATTGCGTTAGTAGTAGTAGTAGTAGTAGTAGTAGTGGATGTCAGTGTATTACAAAGGCACAAAACAGATATTAGTACTAATATCAGTTAGTGAAATATCTTTTTTACAGTAAATTTCAGTCAAATCTGTAAAACCTAAAAAGTTGGTACTGTATTTTTTGTTGTTGTTTGAGGAAATGTATCACAATCACAGCTGCTGTTTTTTTACTTTAAAGTTCACAGATTTTTTTCCAGATTTTATAATGAAAGGATATGCTATATTTACAAACAGTTGTACAATAGTAGAATACAGTAGTAGGCCTCCATTAAAGTGATACTGCGCCAATGTTATTTTAGTATTATTTATATACTGTTACATGTTTCATAATTAGCTTTTATTTTAGTTTAATTTTAGTAATTTTGGTGTGTGCCAACATTTTCATGTTTTTTTTAAAGAAATATCACAAATGAGATTTAATTTGAATTGTAGTTTGTGTTTATTTCCTGTAAGTAATTTTAGTGTTTTCATTTAAGTTTTTTTTTATCTAATATTATTGTTATTTATTTGACCTTTATTTTAGTTAAAACATTTTTTGTTAATAGTTAACGTTAATTACTCTGTTCTTTGCTGGTCTTAACGGTCTGTAAGAAAATCCCCTTCTTCTGTTATCACTTTGGTATTTTTTAGCGTTACATAATAGTTCTGTCCTGGAGAAGAGTTCAATAGAGCTGTAGAGATGCCTTTGTGCTTCCAGGCAAAACGTTTCTTTGACCCACTCAGTCTCCGTGAATAACGGTCTTATGCAATGTGAGGGGAAATGTTTACTCTGTACTCATGCGCATTTTGATCTCACATGTCAAATTGTAATATTGTGCAGAGGATACTTCACCTTAGCCTGCCCACTCTTTTGGAATTTCCTTTCAATGGACTGATAAGACGACAGCACGACAAACACCTGAATGCCCATGTTGAAGATGGACATGGGGATCAAGTAAGACACGTAGTTCCTAAGGACAGACAAAATTACATGTATAGGCCTTCAAGGGTCTTATTACAGTGAACAGATTTACAAGGAAATGAAACTTTACATTACCATAATATTGCTTTCATATATTTGTAAATATGGGTCAGAATGTGGGTCTGAAACTGACACTATAAATAAGTTATAGATATGTTATAACACGACGTGAATCATGAATGTACTGTGCATCTTACCTATCCCCCTTGCTGTAGTCCAGTGTGCAGCAGGTCCTCAGGGGCTCATAGTCATACTCTCCCCAGCCAATCAGAGGCATGGCGGACCAGAAGGCAGTGAAGAGCCAGATGAAAATAACCAGGGTGATGGCGCTGCTCCACTGCAGCTTTGTCCCTAATGATACAAGGTGATCAAACATTGTGCTGTGTACTGAATTGTTTTAGTTAATGACCCTGAACACACCAAATAATGTTAGACCTGAGTCCACAGTGTTGACATTTGTACTAATTTTAAAATCAACCCTAATTCACTGAGATTTTGAAAAGAGTGGTCTTAGGCTAAGCCTATGTGCACTATAAGTACCTTCAGATGGTGATCTTTGCAACATGGGTGGTCTGCACTAGAACAAAGACTGTCAAATTTTCCATTGAAGTGCAGGTCCTATTTGGCGAAAGGGATACCATTGATTTTTACTAAGGTTCTCTGTTCCTGTTACTCACTTGTGCAGTACTGGTGGTATCTGTCCCAAGCAATGGCTGCAATAAAGTGGATGCTGGCAAGAGCAGTCATAAAGCCCTGGAAGCCATGGGTCTGACATCCATCTGATCCATAAGGCCAGTATCTGGAGTTTCAAGAAGATCACGTATTTAAAAACGTAATTTAGTACTGTTTAATGTATTTTTCTCAGTGACAGATTCTTAAACATTCTCCTATTTTGAATATTTGTTAACATCTTTGCTTATCAGTAAATTTGGGAATCCAACATATTGTATTTTGGAACATGGTACAATGTAAAAAGTGATCGGTTGACTTAACTTGGTAAAAAAGAAGAGAGGAAACCCATTGCCTTAAAATTATTAAGTAAATAAACTTAATTCTTAATTGAAAAATTAAGGTATGTGAACTTGACAATTCCATTTAACTATGTTTACAATTACACAATTTTATTTATTAATTTTAAGTTTCCTCACTTTTTTAAGTTAAGTCAGCTAATCATTTTTTTACAGCTGGTTTCTGTTCCAAACTAGTCTTTAGCTGGCTGCAATGTTTAAAAGAAACAGTTGGTAGCTGGTTTGTTTCTGGCCTAAAATGGTCTACCAATTTGCACAAGCTAATGAACTACCTGGACCAGTTAAACCAGCAGCTGGTTTAACTGGTCCAGGTGGATTTTCCAACAGGCCATTCCTGCATAAAACAAACAAAACATCTTTAAAAAAAGAAGAAAACACATATTTGATGGTCTTAACTTGTTTAAGCTGGTAATGCAGCTTGGTGGCTGTGCCTGGGGCAGCCAAAAAGCCTCAAACCAGCCTGACCAGGTCCGGGAGACCGGCAAGTCATCTGGATTATGCTATTATTTATTACAGCAAGGATGTGATTAAAAGACATTTTATCCCACAAGGAATTTAAAAAGCCCTGCAAACCCAACTATCCCTTTAATTTAATGGCTGCAATTTTGTAATTTATAACGATCAAATAGACCCCTCATTACATCACAGCTGTATTTACACACACTCGCATCCGTGACGCGCCATCGCCTCTCCGTCAACAACATCATCAACACACAAACGTGCGCGTGCTCACCTCAGAAAGCTTGAGAAGGCAGCGACAGTGGCGTTCATAGAAATACCCATATCTGCCATGGCCAGACTGAACACGAGAAAATTACTTGGGGTCCGTAATTCTCTTATTTTAAGAAAAGCAACAACGGTGACAGCATTCAGGAAGAACCCGAGGAGACCTTTAGAGGACACAGAAAACGTGTGAAGAATCAGAGCCTTCCCAAGCCCCCATAACAGCGCAGTTATGAAACAGTAATCGGCTGTCTCTTTAGATAGACAGTTCTATCTATAAATCAACATTATGTGTTATTGATTTTGCAACCGTTTGCTAAATCATTCCTGGGTGAAGCATCCTATCAAGGCTAGGCTATACACATCCACATAGTAAGATTTGCACGCGATCCTCTCTCTTTTTTTTAACCTGAAAAAGATTCTGCTTACCCTCCACGAGCAGGCAAGATCCCAGGGAAAACACATCGAAGTCGGAGAATCCCTCCGGTAATGGATACGTTACCATTTTGAACGCAATTTTGACACCAAAGTGTGCAGAATCACAGTCCGCTCGCGCGCGCGATGTGCCTCAATGTGTTCAAACGAAGCCTTCTTTTAAAGGAGCGTTTCACGTGAAAAAGCATGAACGTAATTATGTTAAGCTCTCTCTCTCTGCCTCAATCCGCGCAAGAATGTATTAATGATGAACATAACTCCTACCATTGACCCCTAATACGTATTTACACAGGGCATCAGTAAAGCGCTCATTCAGTTACACAACAAGCCTTTGTGTCGGACGCTTGAGCGCACTGATGGTAAAACCGGGCTGAATGTGAACCAGTTGAGCCTGTGCCAATTCAGTGTGTTGTGTTCTGCTGGCTGGTTGAACAACAGGTGTCGTCGAGCTGTCACTCCAGACACTGATAGATATTGTGGATTTGACGGTTTGCAGCAGAATGACGGGAGTAACTTTATTTTCTCAAATGCAGACTGTCACATTGGCGTGTCATATTCAAATACTGAATAGGTCTTCAAACACAAGTGTGAGAGAGAAAATGTCTTCACGAATAGACAAGCAGTGGTTCTTCTGAGAAATAATTGTGGGGTCAATTTAACCTGTGCATCCTATTTCATAATATTTTGAGTTTCTTTTGATTAAACCAATCTCAATTAACGTTTTTTTTCAATGAACTTTTTTAAGTTAAACCAATAATATATTTATATTTTTACAGTGTACAGTCATAAACTCAGTCATAACCATAAACTGTGTTCAGTGCTGAAAAAGAAACATTCTGAATATTTTGTTTAGACAATAACCACTCTGAATTTTGCTCTATTAAAATATGCTTTGTTTCCAGATTGCATTATTCATACTTGAGTGGAAGCCAAATAAAAAGACAAGTTACAAAGAGTAACACTGATACACTAACCTACTTTTTTGTTTTGAAAATCTACATTCATTGGGGTTTTATCAAATGAAGTCCTGCAATTAAAAAACAAAATATATAATTTTTGAGGAGAACATATATGAAATGGCAAAATCCTCTAGGCTTATCGTATACAGTTCACAAACAAGACCCATATTGTTCAGTCATTGCCTCAGCCAAGATTATGAGGTTGTGAAACAATACTACACATGTTAAAAAAGAAAAAGAAAACGTCATATGACAGTATAAAAGCAAACGTAATTTTAAAGATTTGTATAAGCAAATTTCTTCTACTCAAGTTTATACTGTTTGAAAAACAATGGTTTCATTTGTTAACGATACATTACATGAACTGACTATAAACAATTATTCAGCATTTAATCATCTTAGCTGATGTTTATTAATAAATTATTAAACATTATTAAACTCAAGCTATCTCTGTTGCACTGTGAACTAACATAAAAATGAATAATTGTATTTTTATTAACATTAACAAAGGTTAGCATGCTTTAAAATATATTGCTAGTTCATGAATCATGGTGCATTAACTAATGAGACTTGTTACTAAAAATACATCTTTATTATTATTATTATTATTATTATTTTGATTATGGTATACAGATCAGCAATGTCTTATATGCATTTTTGGATCAAAAGATTTTTTTTTTTTTTTTTTTTTGAAAAAACATGCATTTAAAACATAAATGGTTTGAAAACACCAGTCCCATGACTGTTATGACTAGATCTCTCTAAACTGTGATTTTTCACACATTATTCGCACTCTGTTCAATAACTTGTGAAAGACAGATTTGTTTTGTTCAGTGCATATGGGATTAGGGTAGTAGAACCATAATTCTAAGGAGGTTTACTGTACTTACTGCAGCTTTTAGCTTTTACTCTATAACTGAAGCTATACTTTCTAATTGTGAAACTCACAAAAGATCTTTAAGGGAATAATGTGACCTTAGTAGGTGTGTGAGAGAGGTTTAGGCAGTCAGAGGTTAACAGAAATGTTAACACATTCCCCCACACATTAACAATGAACACTTTACTGGCTTTCTTTTGGAATTACTGAGTTTACTTAAAAAGCAATCCAGTTTACTTGTTAAAACCATGAAAACCAATTACCTTAAAAAAGCAAGTAATAAGCTTTACTCCAATAACTTGAGTGCAATCAATAAATCATTGAGAATAGTTTCACAATTTTACAAAGATAACATTTACAACTGGACAAACAGATGTAAGGCAATGAGACAGTTAAAGGTAAATTTATTGTATTTGTTTTCTTAACAACTGACACAGGGTTGGTCCACACAAGTTTGCATTTGGGATATAGAATTTATGTAAATGTCTCTGACATACATGTACATTAGAAATTACTACGCTGAGCGTCTTAAAGGTTTATTAGTTCACCCAAAAATGAAAATTTGGTCAGGAATTATTTGCACTTATGCCGCTCCGAACCCGCAAGACCTTCGTTCATATTCGGAACACAAAATGAAGATCTTTTTGATGAAATTTGAAAGATTTCTGTCCCTCCATAGACTAAGCCATTGCAACTTTCAAAGCCCAAAAAGGTAGTAAAGACACCCTTAAAATAGTCCACGTGACTACATTAGTTCAACCTTAATGTTATGAAGCGACGGGAATACTTTTTGTGTGCATTTCAATCCCCGCCAAATAACAACATTATTAAATACACATTGCACATAAAAAGTATTCTTGTCGCTCCATAATATTAAGGTTGAACTACTGTAGTCACAATTAGGGCTGGGCGGTATTACGGTATATATCGTTACCGCGGTAGAAAATGTTAACTTGCACGCACTCAGGTTTGTCAAGGAGAATGCAGATCAAGTTCACAAAGGAATTACGTTTTCTAAAGGATTATTTTCATAGAAAGTAAAAAGTTATTGTCAATGTGATATTTTCGGAGGAGTGCACGTTCGCAACGGGGAAAGCATGAAGCTTACTTGACAACATCAATATCGTAATGAAAAGAAATAACCTTATATAATGTATAGTTATTGTCAATGTATAGAATGTCTGACACCGGTGCATACATACTGAAATATATGTGTCAGGCGTGAAAGCTTGACAGGCGTAGCAACAGTAACTAGGGAGGGCGGGGCTTAGCGAAGGGTCAATTAGAACAGTTTTTTGACAAATCCCACAGGAATAGACAAAAAGGGGGGCATAGTCTTGTTGAGCTCCCACAGAGAAGAGGAAGAATATCATTTGTCGATAATTCGTAGACAAACCTACACATTGATGCGAGGCAGTAATAATTTAATGTGCAGTCGCGTAACAATCGATTTTTTAATAAATAAATGTAATGCATGGCAACGATTTCTTTTACACAACACGGCAGTTGTCAGGCTATGTTCATGGTAAAAATTAAGTATATAAAGTTGTTTAGATGAAAACAATTTCAAAAGAACTATACAACAAAAAATGATTTAATTATAGTGTTACAGTAATTTTTGTTTTCAGCAGATATTTTCAACCTCCATTGGCATTTTGTTACAGTTACCACATCTATAAAACATTACTAATCAAAACTTGTGCAAACGTGTAACTAAGGTAGGAATAAACAATAGACTTAATTTAAAAAGTCAACAACACCATTGTGAATTCGACAGACAGAAAAAAAAAATACACCACAAGTTTTTATAACAGTTTATAAAATTTAACATTACATATTAACATTACAATTTAACCAATTAAAAGTATGACTACTACTAAATAAACAACTTACCAATGTGAAACATCCTGCAAAAGTCGTGTTTTAACAAGTTCTAATCGATTCTCTTCATCTTCTTCAGGCTAAAATTGATATGGTAATGTTTTACATTTTTACAATAACAATTAGCGCATGCATCTCCAATAGCTGGGTTTCACTCACGTGATTATGATGATGCGTGGAATTCAGATGGAGGGCAGGGAGTGAAGAGCGCAATGGACGAGATGGAGGAAAGTCCGTACTTTACACGCTATTACAAGAGAAAGAAATGAACAAAAAATCAAACATATGTTGGACGTGATCCTTATGTTATGAAGCAGCCCATTCTCACCCCCAAGGCGTCACTTAACTGACGCCTTGGGAAGCATTTGGACATGCTTCAATATCTGACGCTTTAGGCGCCCTTTAGCGTCAGTTAGATGACGCCCTAGGATCACGTGTACCCTACCCCCACCCCATACCTAAACCTAACCGCGTCCTCTAACTGACGCTTTCCTTTAGCGTCAGTTAGATGACGCCGTAGGATCGCGTCATGTAAGTAAAGGGCGCCTAAAACGTCAAATATTGAAGCATGGTCAAAGGTGACGCCTTGGGGTGAGAATGTGTTGATTTTTCAACTGAATTGAAATATTTTCCTGCCATCGAGGCGGTAGATATCAGCAACTACCTTGTCTTACAGACTTTGACTCCACAAAGTTCGGACACGTTACACGAGACACAAACAGTCACTTAAGTTGTATTAACTCACCTTTGACGAAGTGATCACTAACTTTACACACACGAGCATTATCCCATTCGGCTCCTCCCGACCGCAGACGTAGGTTTGCAAGCCGTTTTGCCAGAGTTTTACGAACAGTGTCTTGCATTTTTCCCCATTATGAACAACAACTTTTGGTATACCATAAAAACTCCTTGTGGTTTGATCGATTCAAGTAACCATAAATGATTTAAAACACAGGCATTTTGAGTTTGTTATAGTGCTTTCTAAATACAGCAGAACACTTCCTGCCCTCCATTTGTATTTTGCGCCATCATATAATAACAAGCTATTTATGGTAAGGGGGCTGATCTTTCCAGGCAACATATCTTAAGCTGCTGTCGAATCACAGCACAGCAACCGCTGCCACAATCAGAACTCGTCAGAAGTCAGTTACTATTTCTGAAGGAGGGACACTTCATAAGGAAGGAAGTCAACGATAATTGTGTGAAAAATACTGTTTTTTACACTCAAAACATAAACACATGTTATGTTTCACACTGTAAACACAATCAAATAAGCTTAAAAAACATGAAGAACAGGACCTTTAACACACTGCTGCCTCTCACTGGTTTAGCAACGTCATTGAATCCTTTGCTACTTGCTTTTTTTTAAGTCAGCTTCACTCAAGCGATTGAGTAACTCATTCCCTGCAATTCACTGTTTCTCAACAAAACCTAGTAAGAAGTATGTATTGTATATTACTGAGTAAAGTTAATATGAGCCAGGAAAGCCTTTGGATTTTACAGTGTTGCATTAAACCCCCATTCCAAAAACTCTAGATTTCTAAACATTATTATTATTATTTATTTCCTGCAACTTTCTTTTTTTACTGTTTTGAGCTTATATCCTGTTAAGATATTTTCTGGTTTAATTCTAATGAAGCATATGTATTTACAAACAACGAGCTATTGTGAAGAACAAGCTGCCTGTGATCCAAGGCCTATACAGGATTACATGAAATAAGATATTTTAAAAACCCAGTTGGATACGCCACTGAAAAATTGCCACTGGATGTCCTTAACTAGAAACTCTCATGCAGGTGACTTTAATAGACATCAGTATTTTCATTCAGCATATAGATCAAAATGTCTCTTTCAAAATTGTTACACAAGTATGGATTCTCACTTCAATAGATATATAACATTGAGGTAGCTAAATACTTGAGCGTGGTTTAGTTTTTTTTTTTTTTTTTTTTTTTTTTTTTTACAGATGTTGAAACTAAATCTTTCAATACTCCCTGGTCTCCTCTGTTTTTTTTTTTTTTTTTTAAGTTCAGTGCAACAGTGCATGGCACAGCCAGAACAGACCAGCTTCCAAAGTTTCATCAGCTCTTACACATTCTAGAAGTGAATCAGTAAAATACAACAGATTCCGATGTTTAACTGTCAGGCAGAGGTTCAAAAGAGAGCTACAGATGCGTATTAAACATCATGGCCAATTCGAAAAGATTTCATCCCTATAATTAACATCATGTTTCTCTATGCAGCCTATCAGATTCCAGTATGCATGGGTTACGCATCTAAATAAAAATAACGTGCATGCTTTCGCTAATCCTCGTCTGTCCTTTTTATCTGCTGGACTCGTTGCAGTCAGATCATTATGGGAGATCGGAGCAGAGGGACGCGATGCTGGTTACTTTTTCCATAATTGCAAGTGATGGTTCTTCGTTAAAACAACGTTTCAAGGTGTTTTGTTGACATTAGAGTCAAAATGTCTCTTATTGTATTTTTGGGTGTACTACTGGCATCTGGTGGCTTTCCACTTGTTCGGAGCACATGCCCATCCCAATGCAGCTGCTTTTATCATAACCTGAGTGATGGTTCCAGAGCCAGGTTCGTGTGTATTTAATTATCTCAACTTTATTGAATGAATGCAATGCATTTTTTTTTCGACTTGAAATGTGGTGCACTTCTGCATTTTGCGCATCATCATGTATTTTACACATGAACAATATTGTGTGAAATGTCGTTTAGAATGTATTTCCCGTACACAATTTGTTTATTTATGATTTAGTTTTAAAAGATATATATTTAATAAGTTTAAATAAGAAACATTTTCAAGAACTGTCATTTCGAAATGTGAGTAGGCTACATTATTACGCAAGTAATGATTCTTGACTTGTTCAAATTTTGTTTTATTTCTTTCTTTTTCCACAAGTGTTTGTCAGACTCAGTCAAAGACTGTTGCTTAAAGATTCGCGTGCGCATGCTTCAAAATCCCTTATTATGAGTCTTTATTCTTGTTTCTAATGCGTTTCGCAGGAGTGTGATTTGCAACGATCCAGAAATTTCACTGGTGCCCGCCACGTTCCCAGGGGACACCTCGAAACTTCGGATTGAAAAGACTGCAATCAAGAGGATCCCAAGCGAGGCGTTTAGCTACCTCTCTAATTTAGAATTCCTTTGGATGTCTTTTAACGTTTTATCCTCTCTCAACTCGGACAGTTTCCGTGGCTTGGACAGTTTAGAGGAACTACGGCTAGATGGAAATTCTCTCACTTCGTTTCCGTGGGAATCCCTCATGGATATGCCCAGTCTGAGGCTACTCGATATACACAACAACCAGCTGTCCTCGGTCCCCTCTGAGGCCGCTCTCTACATGAAAAACTTAACCTACCTGGATCTATCCAGTAACAATCTGCTGACAGTGCCACCTGAGGTTCTCAACACTTGGTTGACAGTCAAACCCGTCCAGGGAGCAGAAAGTTCAAAAATGATTCTTGGTAAGTTTTTCTCTTCGTCTTATTTTCTTAAATTTATATATTGCCGTAATTATATATATATATATATATATATATATATACTGTATAATGTTTATGATATTTAAAAAAATATATTATGCTTTTATAATAATTATACTATTACAATAGCCTATATATTTTTCAATTATAAATAATATTTTAAAATATGTAATCTATTTTAAAATATATACCGTAATAATACCAATAAACACTGTAAAAACAATCTAATTAGTAAATAAATATTTTTGGAATACTTTACAAGAAAATATTATTTCAGTCTTTCAATATCAAAATTTCACGTTTTTAATGTGTTACTTGCCGTTTCTTTTGTAGTTATAGAGTGGAGTACATTTTTATAGGTGCAGAATTTTTTTTATTAGTCAATTTTTTTACTATTTTTTTAAGCATAAAAAAACACCAGATGCCTTCAGAAAAGGAAATGCCCTTACAATGATCACATTTTATTACAATTATAACGCTTTTCTTAACTTGTTGGGTTTTGCAACTTGATAATTTCTTTTGCCCCAGGTCTCCATGACAACCCATGGTTGTGTGATTGTCGACTATATGACCTGGTCCAGTTCCAGAAGTCTCCTAGTCTGTCAGTGGCCTTCATTGACACGAGGCTCAGGTGCGCTGATCCAGAGAGCCTCTCTGGAGTTCTGTTTAGTGATGCCGAGCTCAGACGCTGCCAGGGGCCTCGGGTTCACACCGCCGTAGCCCGTGTGAGGAGCGCAGTGGGCAACAATGTGTTGTTGCGATGCGGAACCATTGGGGTCCCCATCCCTGAGCTGGCCTGGAGAAGGGCTGATGGAAAGCCACTGAATGGGACAGGTGAGTCAGCACAAAGGCGGGCGGCTAAGCAGTATTAGCTAGAGGTGCAATAGTGATTACAGAGAGCTGGCACAGACACAACAATGCACTGTGATTACACAATACTAATTAGTTTGTGCAAATGTACTCAACTGTATTCTTTTTTTCCTTCAAATTTACAGTTCAGCTGGAGAATTCAAAGGAGGGAATCATTTGGTCTATTTTAAGTGTGCCTGCCGTGTCCTTTCGTGACACGGGAAAGTACATCTGCAAAGCCACAAATTATGCAGGGAGTGCAGAGGCCGTCATTTCTTTGGTCATAAGCGATGCACCCAAAGCCGAGAATCCGACTGTGGATCCAAAAACCAAAGTGATGTCCAAGAAACCAAACCCTAAAGTCAAGGCAGCCTATCAAGAAAAACACATAGCCACGTACGTTTCCCCAACACCCAACAATAAGCTACCACTCGGGGCCACAGTGAGCTACACAGGCCCGTATCCAGGTATGGAGAGCGACAATGCTGCTAACAGTCGGACAAATACCCAAACAGCCAGTCCTGACGGCTTCCTGGAGACCAATCTGAGCAACCTGGCTGCAAACACGTCCTCACTTCAGCAAGACCCTGACAGGGTCGTGCGCTCGGTCAAAGTGATTGGCGATACGGACTACACCGTGTGTCTGAACTGGAGGGCACCCACCGCCAAGAACACAACCGCTTTTAGCGTCCTCTACGCTGTTTTTGGGGAGAGGGATATGCGCAGAATTAATGTCAGTCCAGGTAACAACCGGATCCTCATCGAGGGACTGGTTCCAAAAACCAAATACATCGCCTGTGTGTGCGTCAAGGGGCTGATCCCCAAAAAGGAGCAGTGCGTAATCTTCTCAACAGACGCAGCGGCTACCGCTACTGGAACCCAAAAGCTCATTAATGTGGTAGTGATCACGGTCGCCTGCGTGATAGCTGTGCCTCTGACTGTGATCGTTTGCTGCGGGGCGCTTAAGAGGAAAATCAAGAAGTTTCTGGGCAAAAAGTCCAAAGACATTCAAGACTCATATGTGACGTTTGAGACTCTGTCTCCCAGTACCAAAGCTAAAGGCTTGGAGGGGGAATATCTCACCAGACTGAATGCAGAGGAGTCCAACAGACTGCTGTCGGCCAGGTCCAGCCTAGACTCTGAGTCCACCGCCAAGATTGAGGGACAGCCCAATGAATACTTCTGCTGACAATATCCCTCAGCCACAATCCCTCCACGCAGCCGCCTGAGTATCCAGGCCCAGCCGCAGTACCTGAGTGCACATAATCTGTACCAGCAGTACATGACTGGCCATCCATGAACAAGATTCAGGATACTTTGCATAAGTAACAAAGTCAAGATATATGTTGTTTTGGTAATGTTGCTCTTTGTTACTGTGCTTTTGGACTTGGTTTCTAAACTAAGCCATTTGGCTTGTGGTGGGATTTTGGCTGAGCAATCCCAGGAACATGCATTCATGGACTTTTACCCCTTCAGATAGTGATAGAAGGAACTGATTTAAAGGGAATTGTTCATATGAATTCTTGTAAATTTGTGTATATGGAAGAAAAAAAATCGATTTATATGTGATAGTGATATTATGTAAGGAAGTGGGAATTCTCTTTCACATACACTCTCAAAAAATAAAAGTTAAAAGGGGGGTTTTGCAGTGATGCCGTATAAGAATAATTTTTGGTTAAGGAATCTTACAGTGAACAGTTCTTAAAGGTGCAGTGTGTGATTTTTAGCTACATCTAGCGGTTCGGTTGCGAGTTTGCACTAAGGGCTCAGCCCACTGCTCACCCCTCCCTTTCGAAGAAGCTACAGTGGCTAAAACGGGACAAATATATCATCGTCTGAGACAGCAGAGAATAGGCAGAGTAAGCCAAGAGTGTGTAACATTGTCACTGTTTCTGTACCCCAGTCCATTATAAACCACATCATGGATAAAGTTTACAAAGCCATAGTCAGGTGAGAATCAAGGGTCTTAATATAACAATAGTAATCAGCTGAATGTCTCACAAACGTAACCAGCACATTTCTCCCCACATAGCAAACCCATAATACAGTGAGAAAGAAGAACCACATGAAACTATGCAACTACTATATATTTTTTCTAACAGGGTAGTACAAGTTTAGCAGGCTAACTATGAGCTGTTACTGTGGCTGAGCTGGTTAAAGCGTAAAGCCTTGTTTAAACTTGACGCGTCTGGCCATCACTTGAGGTGTTTATGGCTAGCTTCTAGGTTTCTCCGGCTTCTCTTTCAAGGTAGTGACGAAACACGCTCTGTAGCGCTGTTTGTTCGCTGTCGGCTACGGTACAAACATGACGTCACAATATGTCGATTGTATACCTGCAGTTATGTAGATATGTCTCATTCTAAGGTAATAAAAACATTACGGTTTATTAAGTAAGTTCTTTATACACAACTGCAAATATAGTTATGGATGTCTTATTGCATTTCTGTTAATAGATACTCAGAATTTTTAACACATTGCATCTTTAAAAGAACCCTTTTTTTCTTGTGTCCAACATTTTAATATAATACAAATACAAACAACCTTTTCCACTTTAAAGATCCTTCTGTGGAATGGAAAGGTTCCATAGATGGAAAAGGTTCTTCATTGAACCACACATTTAAATAAAGAACCATTAGAGTAGTTACTTTTCTAACAGAATGATGAGTCTAGTGCAACATATGCAAAATCATTCAAATCATTTGGGATTTTCATATGCACCAACATAATCATCATTGTGTATGTGACATTTTTTTCTGTTTATCACGTAAAACTTGTTCTACTTTTTTTGTCCCAGTAGTACCTATTTGTGCTTCAAAATAAATTTTGTATATACATTTAAAAAAAGTGTTACAGTATTTTTTAACAACAATATTAGGTTAGACTTACAATTAAGTTCAAATCAGTCTCTCATGGGGTTAGTCAAGGATTAATGTTAATAGGCTTTACTCCACTGTACCTGCAGTCATGTCGTGCACAGACATAGAGTGGATGTTACATTTATAGGAGACCATGGATGCCTCAGTTATATTTCGTTTGATTGTTTTCCTTCTTTTATTAAGTCATATTAGCTCAGAGTGTTTTCCAGGATGTTCATGTGGGGCTGACCGTTTTGGGAGGTTAGTTACTGTTCCTTTTGTTAAAGACATCAGCAGTATCATTGATCAAAAATTATGTTGTTGTGCTGAGATTAGTTATAGCTATAGCACATGTAGGATCTAGTCTGTAAATAAATGGGCGATCCGAGGAGCTATTCTGCCCTAGAAAAAAATAGTAGGCTAATTCAGTGTTAAAATTCAACACATTATAAATGTATAAGTGTTTTTGTTTTCATAACACAAAGAATTGCTGTTCCTGACCAAACATTCTAGATTTTCTCCAGGAGAACATTGTTATTAGAACTTAGAACAGCCAACTTAAAGTTTGTCTCGACGAACTTTTTAATCTAGTTAGAACTTGATGTCATTATTTTTAATATAATTATATTATATTATAGTATACTGTATATGTTGTAAAGTTGTCGAACATCAACGTACAATTGAAAGTATTGAACGTTTTTCTCTAGGTCACTCACATGTATGGGAATTGCATTAACCCAGATTCCTGATGACGTACCGCAAGATCTGACTAAAATTCGAATAGAGAAATCACAGCTAAGTGAACTACCAAAAGCAGCGTTTTCCCATATTAAGTGTCTAAAGCATCTCTGGCTGAATTTCAATGACATCGCCATCATAAACATCAAAAGTCTGGAAGGTATGGGTAACTTGACGGAGCTCCGGTTGCAGGGTAACAAGCTGCGTTCAGTGCCATGGACAGCGTTTGAGGAAACGCCCAACCTCAAGATTTTGGATCTGAAGAACAACCGCATTGACGCGCTCCCCGAACACGCGCTTAAGTTTTTGCCAGGTCTCACCTATTTAGACCTGTCCTCTAATCAACTCTCAGTCATTTCTAAAGATGTGTTTATGAACTGGCCTCTCTACCACACAGAAAGTAAGCACGAAAAACCTTCAGCGTCAAATGTTGTTCTGGCGCTTCACGACAACCCGTGGTTGTGCGACTGTCGCCTGGGAGGCTTCATTGAGTTTATCAAATCGTTGAGTCCGCCCTTCATTTTAATGAACTCATATTTGACATGCTCTGGCCCGGAATTCAAGGCAGGGAAATTTTTCCATGATGTCGATTTAAAGACGTGTGTGAAGCCAGTGGTCAGCGCCCCAGTCAACAACATCACCGCGCCTTCAGGCAGAAACATCACGCTAACATGCTTTGTCACGGCCAGACCTGAACCTGCCATTCGGTGGACATACGGTCTTAAGATACTAAGAGGATTTCGTGGTAAGAGATATACTCCTAAAACGTGTTTACATGTGTGTCTTTACTTAAATAGACCTTTCTTTAAAAAATAGGTAATTAACCCTCGATAATTGCACATTTTACTTTTGCAAATTAATTAGGCCTATATGCAATAACATCATGCTTTTAGACCTTGGCTATACAATTAATTTGAATATAATAAGAATTTTTCAATTCATCAGTAAATGTGAGTTTTCAAAAACACTCCAAATAGTGTATGGACAATGTGTTTTTAAATATTATATTTTTATATACATAATATAATATATAATTATACATTAAAAAGGAGTGTAAGTGATAAAGAGTTGTCAAAAATCCAAACTACTTAAAACCAGATTATGCTACTGTGACGCATATGATGCCTATTATGCAAGCTTCTGAAAATGATCCCAAATTATTACAAATCATGGAAAAAAAATAGTTTCACATTGTCAAATTACTAACTAATGTAATTATTACATACATTTATGAAATTATGAATCAATGTTAATAATAGAAATTATTGTTATTATTATACTGTAAAATTACACAAAAATACCTTTTGGCCATACTCCATGTTGGCCTCAACTTCACTTTTTTTTCCTTCAGAGATTCAGAACCGTGTGGATGAAGACACTATCAGGTCTCAGCTGATCATTCCTTCGCTCCATCTGGCCGACAGAGGACTCTACACCTGCTTTGCCAACAATTTCATCGGCAACTCGTCAATCGGTATATTACTGGATGTGACATCTCCAGAAGGCTCACTCTCTCATTCCTCAGACCTCCCTACTGCCATTGGAGAGGAAAATGTTTACATTGATATCCGAATTGCCAAGCAGACAGTGTATGGCATTACAATTGAGTGGCATGCTGTGACAGACAATCCAGCAGAAACCTGGTTCACCATTCATTTTGGCCGCTATGACACACTTAAGAAAGAGCAGATATACATAGGACCAGGTATTAATACATATTCTGTCACAGACCTGCTACCAGTCACTAAGTATGAAATCTGTGTTACTCTAAAGAACCAGGCTCCTCGAAATGGCCAGTGCATCGTGTTCGTGACAGGCAGTGATTTCAATGAAATGCAACAGAGAGAAAAACTCATTCATATTGTCGTAATTGTACTTGCCATGGTGCTCGCTGTGCCCGCGGGAATGTACGCCTGCACCACCGATGCCAAGTTCACCTGCTTTGAGCGTTGCACGGAGATGTGGAGAAACAGGAGAAACACGGAGCACTCACACTCATCTGACGAGAGGCAGGGCACGTTTGACAGTCTCCAGGCCGCCAGTGATGAGGGCCTCTGCAAGGAGTCCAGCAAGGAGATAAAGGCCCGACGAAGGTCTGCTGAAAAGATACAGAAAATAAAGAATGAACGAAGACCAACAGCTGAGCTTTACTGACACTGCACATTGAAAAGAGACTGATCAATACCCATGAAAGGAGCAGGAAAGCCTCAGTGCATTGTCATCCAGCTTGAGTGGTCAACAGGAGATCGGAGTAAAGTTCATATTCTTATTACGGATGTCTCGATTGATCATGAACTCTCGGATCAGGTGCAGCTGGATAGGATTTTTCCAGACAAACTGGCGAAAACCAAAGGAAGCCATTGAATAAAAGCAAAGTCACTGAATCAAACACTTCTATCAGCCGTATTCTACATGGCATAAGCAAGCTATTTTCATTGAATGTTTGACACTTCAGATTCAGATACAGTAGGTAAATAACCAAGAATAATAAGTGCTGCACACCAGTGTTTATGATTATAATAATTAATTAAAATAACATACGTTTGCAATAAAAAGTTATATAACAGGCTGTTTCTGTACTGGTCTCCAACATTCAAGTTGCAAATAGCCAAGCCGCTTTATTGGCATCAATGGTTTCAATGAAGAACCTTTAAAATCTATTGAACCTTTCCATTCCATACAAGGATTTTCTTTAGATTCGAAAAATGGTCTTTTAAAAGAACTGTTCACTGAAAAAAAAAAAAAAAAAAAAAAAAAAAAAACCTTTTGAAATCTATATTTCGTCCCCTTGGAATTATAAGGTTCTATCTGACATTTTTGTCAAAATTGAGTTATTCACATATTCTTATTCTGTGACAATTTATTTACATTATGTGATGTGTTTTGTACATTTAGGGTCCCTGTTATTTTTATGTTTGAAAGAAACTTGTTCCCCATACACATTTTCCTATATGGAATTCAAAAACTTTGAAGCTTAATATCTCAAAACTGTTCAGAACGCAGATAGAACCTTATAATTCCAAGGGGACGATTTGTAAGAGTTATATTCAGAGGGGAACAGACCGCTTATCATCTCACTGCACTTTATAGAAACAACCAGTGACAAGTAGCGCTCAGAGTATAGAAGACATTGATAATGCAACTGTACATAAAACATAATTTTGGGGATTATATTTCCATTTAAAACTACCGGTAAGTGAATTATTTTAGGTTGAGGTGCATTTGTATGATTGTTATATTCGTGGCATGTTTTAAGTGACAGATTTATTTTTAATGCACATGATACAAACCTAGGGGTTTAAAAGCAGATTAGGATTTTTGAGGCCTGTTCCATATCATGTGAGTCCAACAGCAGACAGAATGCTTATCTTTTAAAATGGACTCAAGCGTCAGTCAGCAAGTCCTTTGACAAACAATGAAAATGCCACATACAATGAAAATTAAACAGAGACCGACACAATTGACCTTCAAACTAATTGATCAATTTGAACTCCAATCATTGAAAGAGTTGGGGAATAAATGTAATTAAGATTGTTTTCTATAAATGATTTTGCCTCTTAAGTATATTTTGTTCCCTTTTATTTTTTTAACAAATGAGTGATAGGTGTAATCTTTGTAAGTAAATATATACATTAAAATGAAAATTTGTTGCTGAACTTATACCATGTTTCTGTACTGAAATGTTTAAAATTGATATCACATGGACTGTCATTCAAGGCAGTCAACTTTATTTGTAAATATGCCAGAAATAAGAAATAACTCTATTCCACCACTAACAGACTGAACAGATACCGCTGTCGAATCGTGCCGTTCTGCACTAATCCAGGCTCGTTGACATCTATGCTTCTTTTTCCATTGTGGTGCTACTAAACCCGGATTAAAACGCACATGACCAATCGTGAACCTCAGACTGAACCAAAAAAGTGCATAAAGTGAATTCCACAGCTCTCTCTAATTTATGTCAGTAATAAACTTTGAGGCTTCTGACTTTTTTCCAGAGCTCTGTGACCTTGCTCCGAAATAAACTAGTCAAGTTCCAAATAAAATGTTCTGTTTTTCCTTTATCCTAGTCCATCAGCGCACTTTGCAAGTTTGTAATCCTCTCTAAAAAAAACAGTAATCCTACAGGGTATAATTCCATGTCATTTGTGCTTTTACCCCCGCAGTGTGCTGCTTTTACAATGTGAAAACAGACTTTCCTCATCACAGCAGTCTTATATCATGCGCAGGGGTTCTTTAAAAAAGAAAGAATTGACCAATGTTAAAAAAACCCAAAAAAAACATTCACCTAAAAAACTTTACAATGCACTTGTCTTTGAATATATAAATACCGTGTTTAGAGATTTAGAAAAGCCAGAGAGAAAGCGCATAATTTGTCTTATAAATCTTAATGGGATCACCAAATCTGAACTTGATGTTAAGCCCCAAAAGAACAAGCACGAGCTAAAATAAGCAAACCGTCATTGCACGTGGTTATTTTCTCAAAGATTTGAGTTGACTGTTGGTGTCACAAGAGTCATAAAATCTGTATTTGAAAAATAAATCTCTGTTTTAAAAAAGATTTAGGTCATATGACGAAATGCAGCATTAAAGGAAATAATACTTTTTCTCAATCCTATATTATACAGAATAAAAAAACAACAACAGAGGCTATAAGATTACATTCAGCAGTTTCATATCACGAGACCACTTCACAAACAAGAATAAAAACTCGCTTTGCTTAAAATGCCTTTAAATAAAACAACACATTTGAATGAAATGTCCATTTATTTACAAAAGGTTGAATATAAACAAAGATCACTCTAATTATTTTACATTTAATACTGAACGGCATGACACCTGACAATGTACATTAAATGGATGAAACACGGCACAATATGATAATGTAACTGTATGGTTTTCCTCACTGAAGGATAGTAAAATATGGATATAATATTGGATGTCTTTGTGGTTCATCCAGCAAATCAATGTTTAGAATTTGGCATTGTAAATGTTCATTCAAGGTCCAAAAGATATTGTGTTAGACTTAAAAAGCCATTAATTTGCTGGTCTCAGAGACACTACTGTGTTTTTGAAAACACAAAAACAAAAAAACCTAAACAACAACCTAGTGTTCCCTTTTAAAAACCATGTATTGAGTAAAAAGTACATGATATTAAAGAGTAAACATTCACATCACAGACATATTTCATTTTTCTTGTCAGTTTTCCACGGTAAAAAAAAAAAAGACTTTGGTTTGGTTCATTTCTGGATGAAAAGTATCCACAGATGGAGAAATGTCAGAGAAGCATTGAGTAAATGTGAACCAATTCTTTTCCATCCAGAAGAGGGCAGTACACAGCGTCATAGTGTGCGGATTAGCAGGGTGTTAGTCTTGGCAAGTGACACTTTTCCATTAGAAACCTGCAATCCCATCTGTACTCTGCATACATACGGCAATTTGCAGAGTTGTCCTGCTGAGATCTCGATCTTGCTCAAATCTTGCCAAAAATCTTCTTGGTCAGAAGAAACAGGACAGAGAATTAGCAGAGGAACACATCTTCTCACCAGTGAACACTGGTATTTCTACATCCATTTCACCATAATCAGTACCGGTTGGCCATGTTTTTCTGCTCCAGTTTAAGTTTGAGCTCAGAAACCAGTGCTGTGTTGACAGGATTTTCTTTACTCGTATGAGATTTTCTCTTTGTCTTGGAGGCCACCGAGGCGGACACTGTAGGTACCGCCCACTCGCGGTCACCGTGTCTATAGTGACTTGGCAACGGCGGGGGCATGTTAGGAGGCGACGGAGGCGCTCGATGATGAAAACACACTTTGCTGTTATTGTTACAGTTGATATTCTCAGATGTAGGGTTCTCCTGTTCCTCTCTGAACGGTTGCTGGAAGTCGTCTTGTCTCCGGAATTTACGCTTCCTGCGTATGATGCGACGGGAGGGTAGGATCTTGTTGGACTTGATGTTTCTCACGAATATAATAGTAGATATCAAGACAGTCACAAAAACCATGATTATAATGACACCACTGATCAAGCCTAGGAAATGCATGGGATTTTCCCTACTTTTCAATAAAAAGGACGTCAAAGGTCCCTTGAGTTGAGTCTGTAAAAGAGCACAAAGAGAAATCAAGTCCATAGGACTCAAGGGTGATATACGTTAGGCTTTTCTCTGTTTGGCCAGAGACACATGATAAAAGTGAGGCAGATAAATAATTCCCTGAGAGGCCAGTAGCAGGCTACCAAGCATTCTTGTAGGACTATGGTATATAAGCGTGGGTTAGAAAGCACCGATAGGGCGACTACATGGACTAGACACAGCGTGACTGCATGGCATATTGACAGCTGAGGACAGATTGAAAGCAATTGATTTGGTGTTTCTTTAAATTAATTTGAAATGAATTTGAATGTTTCAACAGAGTCTGGTTGCACAGTAAGACAAGATCAGAAGGGTTGAATAGGGCACCCAGAATTAAGACCATGCAGCCTCATTGTCATAATCTCAAAAACATCTACTGTACGATGTAGACTGAATGGAGAAAGGGCGATTGCGTAGAATAAAAGCTATTATTTTGAAAAATATATGTATTTTAATGTGCTCTTTTACAGACATTTTACTTGCCTTTAAGCCACAATAAAATCATGGAAGGAAAAAAAAAAAAAATGAAGAAAAAAAAAGTTAAGAATTGGTGTCGGTGTCAAAGTGTCTCATGGTCAGAGCCTCCTAATAATCTTTCTGATCTTGCCCCTTGGCTGGACCCGGGACTTTTTCACAGATTTCCAGAACATTATGGTGGATATGAAAACGGTCAGAATGATAGCGAGGACTACAATGCTCAAGCAAATGCTGAAAACAGTCCAGGGCCGAGTTCTCAGACTCAAGAAGTATGAAATCAATCTGGATTTGATCTGTAAAGCACACAATAACAAAAACTTATGCTAGGTTTGATATGAGGTTTTCTCAGAATACAGATAAAATAGTGAGAGTGCAGATTCAAGATTTTCATATGCATGATTCAGTATTTTTATGCTTTAATGCATGAATGAGAAGCAAAGGGTTCTTGAGTTGTTTTGAATGGAAATACTAAAAATGTTGCTTTCACTTTTTAAATGAACAGGATTCTCAGTAAGACAAAAGACAGCACTAATAAAAAAAACACTTACCGCTTCTGTGATGTCAATCTTTATCACTGTGGTGGTGCTGAAGGATGGTGAACCTCTGTCTTTGGCCTGAACAACCACAGACCAAGTACAGTCTTTCTGATTGGTGATATTGTGGACTATGTCCATGGACTTGATGTACGGCTTCAACTTTATTTCTCCTGTGTCTGCATCGATGTCAAATATGTTGTCTGGGTCGGCTTTCGTAATGGAGTATTCAATTACATTGTTTGGCTCTTCTGCATCTTCATCAATCGCCTACAAGCATCAAACACAGTCAACTGACAATTACACAAGTCTTCTATTAGAAGAACAACATTTCAAGGAGTCTTTAAAATAGCTGCTAACCTCTATTTTCACCGGTGCACCAATCACCATTGTTTTCTCTAGAGAGTTTTCATTAAACTCTGGTGAATGGTCATTGAGGTCAATAATGGTGACGAAGACTTCTGCAAGGCTGTATTTTCCTTCAGTGTCTTCAGCCTTCACATAGAAGTTATACTTGGATTTGACCTCGGCGTCCAGACTGGCCCAGGGCTGAGTGTAGATGATTCCAGAATCAGCCTGAATGAGAAACCTTTGTGAAAAAAATATAAGACAGGAAATGAGTTCTC